TGTGGGACAAGACATCAGTATAAGCATCGCCGAGATGGGTATCGGCGTGTGTCGTGGTGGGCAGCCATACCTCCATGACAAATTGAATGGGACCAACAAAGTATCCGAGGAATTTCAACAGCAGATTCTCCTTTTCTTCCTTCATTTGATTGAGCCCATACTTCTTTCGTCTGGCTACGACTTCAGGCTCTATTAAGCCGACGCGCGTGTCGGTCTGCAGCATTTCCTCGGGCACATTTCGAGCTCCCGCTGTCTCGATCTCGGCTTCAATCTCAGCATCTGGGTCGAGGGACTCCAACTCTTCAATGAGCGCGTCTAGATCTTCCTCCTCGTCATCGTCGTCTTTGTCCATCCTCGAAGCCTTTCGGGGCGTGAACATGACGTCGGGCTTCTCGTCCGGAACAACATCGCTGACGCTGACCTGGAGATGGGGGTGAGGTTTATCGCGGGCGGAATGGGTTGAACCCGAGGAACTAGCGTCGGAAGGGATGTCTACCATGTTGAATAAGATAAGGAGAGGTTAACGGTGCGTGCTATATCGACTCCATTGGGAGAAGAACACGGCGTAAGGATACGGGCGCCCGGGAGAAATAATTGCGGGATGAGCATCGATCGGAGGGCAAGGTGAGGAAGGCGTTAGGCTGGGTCGCTCCCTTCAATCTTGGGTCGCGCGAGATGGAGAAGAAGGATACAATGACGGGCGTGTGCAGGCAGTGAAAATAATAGTGGGAAAGCACAATGAGCAACAAGACAGAGAAGGAGGTGGTAAGAGAAAGTTTGGGAGCGGGAAAGGATCATGGTTCCGATGTTCACCCCCGCAATTTCGCGCCAATCTGTTCACCAACAATGATGACTGCACTGACGACGGCAGTCTCTCATACGCTGATCGGGTAAGACCAAGATCTCTTTGAGCACCACAACCAATCGCCCGTGTCATCTATAGTCAGAGTTTGTTCCTCTACACTTGGCGTGCGCCTTCCAAGACCGCAGAAATGTCGGGTGACTGAGGCGGTGCTGGCCACGGAAGCCTAGCCTCGCCGTGGGCGGTGGATAATCCAACGATAAGATGGACAAGACAGAGAATCCACGACCTGGCCTCACGAGATAGAAGCTGTGGAGGTGGGGCGGCTGGTCCGACGTCGGATGGATTTCTCTACAAGTACAGTACAGCATACTCGGTAATACTGTCTGATCCACGTGTCGCAGCACGTGGGAAAAAAAAAAAAAAAACATGTTGGGAAACTCATCAGGATCAATAGCAGGCGGTGAGCAACACAAGCCGATGTCCTTGTAAAAGCTTACGTGCACCCTGTCGTTGACTCTGCCCTATGTGAATCTTTTCCTGCCTCTCGGTCATGCTGTCCAGGCATCAAAGCTCCACGAGCTCCCGCATTCCCAATGCAGGAGAAAGACTGACCAACGAAAATTGACTTGATTCAATCGCAACCCCCTCCAATTAAGGCCGTTCCGTCCTGGTGACCAACTCCTCAATATGCTTGTATCGAACATGTAAATTGGGTATCATCCCGGGGCCATGAACTCTTTAGACCAGTAACAACATAACGCCTTTTCGATTTTGCTCGTCAACCTGAACACATGCCTCTAGTCCTGCTTGCTTTGCGGCTGGAAGGCAGGCATTTGGAATCCAGGTGGGAAGCCGGGCATTGCGTTTGGCATGTTGCCGAAGTTCATGGGGAAAGCCATTGACGGCATGACACCAATGTCGTTCGGGTTGCCCGAGGCTTGCCGGTCGTCTCGATCCATTCGGCGATCACTGTCTCTGTATCTGGTGTCGTCACGTCCCACATGCTGGCGAGACGATTGCGGCCCCCGTCGTCCACCCTGATCAGTCGCAATACGTCGACTCATGGCTGCATACGAGTTAGAAGATATTTGCCATGTCAGAAGAAACCGCTCGTACCTTTCGAGGAAACCCCAGCACCAATCTCGATGTCAGGCTCTTCCACAACCATCCCTTCTTGGATCGGCGCACCACCAGTACCCCCGTATTCGGCGGTGAGTAGCCACTTGCGGTCGGCATCCGTGAGGCGTTCGATGGGGATGACGCTAATTCCCGTTTGATAGTCGCTGCAGTCACGTGGTCCAAAACCCACACCCCATTTGGTCTGCCAGAAAATGCCTGTCAGTTGCATGTCCTTGTCCAATTTGCTGCCGTGCAATTCACTTACGCGGAGTTGCATATCGCCCACCTTGTACTCTTCCATGCCTTCACGCGCGCTTTCTGCATCTTGGCGATTAATCATTTTGATGAAAGCGTGTCGTTTGTCAATGTTGACAATGCAGGTCTGAACCACACCGAATTTACCGAATAAGCTTCTCAAATGTGCTTCGGATGAGGTGACGCCTCCCACGAAAAGGGTCCGGCTGAACACCTTGATGTGACCTTTCGGAAGGGTTGGATCCCATTGCACGTTCTTCGGGCCCGGTGGTGGGAGCTTGTAGTCACCGGGCGGTGTTGGGCTTCGTCGTTTCCTACCCATCGGGCTGCGTTGACGGTATTCGCCTCGCCTGCCATCGCGATCATTACGATATCCATCAGCCCCTGGACTATCTCGTCGGCGTCTTGGAGACAGGTCTCGACGTCTATCATAGCCAGGAGAGCGTGAGCGGCGTCGAAATTGGCCCGGAGGAGAACGGGTTTGGGCATCACGTGACGCCCCGGGCACTTGAACCTGGCCAGCCCAATTGCTTGTTGGTACAGGAGGCGGAAAAGGAAGGCCACTGGCACTCGCACCGCCACCACCACCACCTGCTGCACCTTGCATGTTCAACAATTGTAGAGCAGTGGCCCACTGGTCTGGGGGAACGCCTTGACTAGCCAAGAGTTGCAAGAGTTGCAATTGGACTTGAGCTTGAGCCTGAGCATCTTGACTTAGAGGAGGGTTTTGAGGCACCGCTGGAGCCGGAGCCTGTTGCGGAAGAAAAGCAGCAAGTGGATTTGCAGGTACATTTGCAGGACTCTGGCTTTGCGCACCATTACTCAGTCCAGCGAACAGCGCTCCAAGCTGATTTACAGCCTGCCCACTGGCGGCAGCGGCAGCAGGGCTGGGGTTTACGGTACTGCTCGTCAGAGGGATCCCATTCTGCGCGCCTAATAGATTATTCAAACTAGTTTGAGCGGGTGCTGGAATGGCGGGTGCCGCTGTAGTATTCTGCTTTGCCATATTCTTGAGGGCTTCCAGGATGGCTGAGGTGTCTTGCTGCTGTGGAGGTTTTGCTGTCATATTGTCAGTGGGCGCCGCTTTACCCAATGGCACAAAACCGGGTGAGGGAGATCCTTCCGGTGTGGTTGAGACTACACAACAGTCAGAATTTTCCAATTGCGCGGAAGAAAAGACAGATATTCAATGTACCTTTTGGCGCATCAAGTTTTTCTTTGAGTGAAGCAAGCAGGGGGGCTGGAAACGTGTTTGATCGTTCCCAGATTTCCAGGAGTTTTCTGATTTTGACCTAAACAAAAGCGGATACACGTGAGTCTCAATCAAAGCAGACTGGTAATAATATGACTTAGGTTGGCGTGTACAAGTGGTCTGGTCGCGTGGAGTAGAATGTTGCACTCCAAATGTTTAGGAGAATACGACGGGCATAGAATGGCATACCTTCTGGTCTTCTGGGGCGGTAGCAATAATGTCGTTCATGAGTACGGGAAGCAGTTCAGTCACTCGAGTCACACCAGCGGCAAAGGTTCCATCAGGAGCTCCGCTACCCAACTGTTGACCTGATTTTCTGGCTTGATCTACCCATTGTCTCGTCACAGAATCTATAACGTAGAGTACTCCCAATTTGTGTGTTCCTGGCGTCTTCTTGAAATGGGTATAGATCTTCTGGATGAGGACTGATTCGGACTAAAGGCCACGTCAGTTACTGGAGACGCGATCAGCTGCCATGAGAGATTGACATACTTGAATGTTTGCTGTGCAAAGGGAGGTGATGGCAGTGATCTTTGAGCCTGAAACTCCTGGCGGTTTGAGGTTGAGCATGGACTGCAGGATGGAGTCCAGCTCCGCTACTGCAGAAGACATGATAGCCCGGCGAACTTTCCTACAACTGTCGTTGATAACAGGGTGTTGGAGGAACTGGTCCTAGCTAGCTGGACGATGGCGACAAGGATGGAGATGAGATGAGCCGTTCAACGCATACGAAGTCTTCGAACGAGAAAGACGTCTTACAGACTCGAGGTACAGGTGAAGTGAAGGATGACGCGCTGTGCAAGAGTGTAGTCTTTCTCCCGATTCTTTCCTTTCCTGCTAAGTGTAGATTGCGCCCACAAGACTTTCTACAGCGACGTGGCAACTGCGGCCTGGCAGCGGCAGTACTGAGGAACTAGCGGCCGTGTGCAGAGAGAATACTGGTAGACGTGCTTTACAAGTTGATGACACTATGTGCGTGACAAGGACGAAGAAAGGGGAATCGAACGCGATGGATTGTGCGTCGATGGGTGATGGGTGATGGGTGATGGATGAGTGATGAAATAATGGTGGAGTGAAGAGAAGATTTAATCAAGAGTCGAAGATGTTGCAGCCAGGAAAAGCGGAGGTTAGACAAAATATGTCAGCCACAGCAGCCGGCCGGAAGAACATTACTGCCGGAGGTACCTGATTTAACCTTGGGGGTTCGCCTTTGGCCGCCTGGGGGGGGCTGGGAGCCCTGTTAGGTGCCATCTAATTTTCTTCGGACTGCGAACTGGGCCTCCTGTGGCTTGTCAGAGGCCCGCCTGTGCCGCTGTTGGCGGGTTGTTGATTCCCAATCGGCACACTTGACTTCTTTGAAGGGAAAGGTCGTCCGCGAAGCCGAAGCCTCGCCGGGCAGCCCCAATTGGACATTGAACCTTTTTCATCATCGAGCAGGGACAGCTTCCTCCTCCCTAACTTTCCTATCTGCACCTTTTTTTTTTCTTTCCCGCACTCCTTCCAAATCCTCCCTTGCCGTAACTTTCTTCTTTGCTTTCTTTGCTTCGACTTCCTCGTGTCGTTACTATCATGGCCTCTTCTCTTCGCTTGGGGAGCTCCCTGCTCCGTTCCTCTACCAGGCCTCTGGTTCAAAAAGCTGCCTACAACGGTGTCCGCTGCGCAAGCACCCAAGTGAGCTTTCCGAGCTGGTGTGTTGGTAGCTGCTCTGCTAACGGATGTCTACTTCTTTAGTCTTTGAAAGAGGTCTTCGCAGCCAAGCTCCCTGGAGAGGTCGAGAAAGTTAAGAAGCTGAGAAAGGACTATGGCTCTAAAGTCATTGGTGAGGTCACCCTGGACCAAGTCTACGGTGGTGCTCGAGGTATCAAATCGCTAGTCTGGGAAGGCTCCGTACTTGATGCGGAAGAGGGAATCAGATTCCGTGGAAGGACTATTCCGGAATGCCAGGAAGTCCTCCCCAAGGCTCCTGGCGGCGAGGAGCCTCTGCCCGAGGGCCTGTTCTGGCTTCTACTCACTGGCGAGGTTCCCAGCGAGCAGCAGGTCCGAGACCTGTCTGCCGACTGGGCTGCTCGATCCGATCTTCCCAAGTTCGTCGAAGAGCTCATCGACCGCTGCCCTAGTGACATGCACCCTATGGCCCAGTTCTCCATCGCCGTCGTCGCGCTCGAGCACACCTCCGAATTTGCCAAAGCGTACGCCAAGGGCATCAACAAGAAGGACTATTGGACATACACTTTTGAGGACTCGATGAACCTCATTGCTAAGCTGCCCACGATTGCGGCGAAGATCTACCGCAACGCATACAAAGACGGCAAGGTTGCTGCTATCCAGAAAGACAAGGACTACGGCTTCAACTTGGCCAACCAGCTCGGCTATGGTGATAAGCCTGATTTTGTTGAGCTCATGCGTCTGTACCTCACCATCCACTCTGACCATGAGGGTGGAAATGTCAGTGCTCACACCACTCATCTGGTCGGAAGCGCCTTGAGCTCTCCCATGCTGTCCCTTGCTGCCGGTTTGAACGGTCTAGCCGGACCTCTCCACGGTTTGGCCAACCAAGAAGTCTTGAATTGGCTCACCAAGATGAAGGAGAGCATCGGTGATGATCTCAGCGACCAGAAAATCACTGACTATCTCTGGGAGACCCTCAATGCTGGCCGTGTCGTTCCTGGCTATGGCCATGCTGTTCTCCGCAAGACCGATCCTCGCTACGTGTCTCAGCGCGAGTTCGCTCTCCGCAAGCTCCCGGAAGACCCTATGTTCAAGCTGGTCAGCCAGGTTTACAAGATCGCCCCTGGTGTCTTGACCAAGCACGGCAAGACCAAGAACCCATACCCCAACGTAGATGCTGTAAGTTTCTCGATTTGAAAAGTATCATGGCTGCGCTGACCGAACATCTAGCACTCCGGTGTCCTCCTGCAATACTACGGACTGACCGAAGCAAACTACTACACTGTCCTCTTTGGTGTCTCGCGTGCCCTCGGTGTCCTGCCCCAACTCATCATCGACCGTGCACTTGGTGCCCCCATTGAGCGACCGAAGTCCTTCAGCACCGAAGCATATGCCAAACTTGTTGGTGCTACGTTGTGATTGGGATGAGAAGAGCAGGAGCTGTACAATGCAAATCATACTTGTGTGTCTAAAAAGGGAGAAGGTCGTGGGCAATACGAGGTCGGTTCTGGTTGGGGGAGGATCTGTTTCGTGGTTCAATTACGCCATTATTTAATTGACGAGCGTTGTTGGATGCGAATGCCATATTTTACTCTGTTCCCATTGCCTGCTCTACCCATGACCACATTCACCATGCTTGAATGCTGTACACCGAGCCGGAGTACGCACCGTAGAAACCCAAGATTCAGGAGGCATGGGGGCCGCGGTGGCTCTGCGAGACATGGTTGCATGGGCCGTGCGACGTAAATTTCTTGAATTTTTTTATTTTCGGATGTTGAGGAGAACGTTGGCGGCGTTGGGTGGCCCTAGGCAAGCTAAAAAGAGGCTCACTAGGCCAACCGACCCACAGTTAGGGGAGGCGGCGTGCGAAGTCCAAAGGAGCTGCATGGGTCGTGACGAAGCTTGGGGGAGAAAGGGTGGTGACGGGGGACATCCTAGGGCTCCGGCCACTTCAGCTACAACAACAAAGTCCGCTCAACACGCCGAGGCCACAGCCACTAATCTGCTTCTGGCCCCAATGGGGGTTTTGTCGAGGCGCCTGCGCCGATATTCTACGAAGGCCATCTCGTCCTTCTTCGCCGAGGGAGCTGAACAAACGAATTCGGACTTTTTGACTGCCATCACTGTCAGCTTGATCGCTACTCTCTGTACTCCGTATTCTTAATCTCCGCTCCTGCTTTTTGTCTCCTATACCAGACCATACCACGGTAGCCATTTCGTGCCTGTATCTTTTGCAGCATTCAGACCTACGAAACCCCTGTCGCCCAAGAGTAATTCCTCTGTCCTCTCTGCTATTCTCTGATCCTCAAGGCGACGAAGCCGACCTCCTCCCTTGGTCAGGGCAGACAACCTCGCAGATCTGCCAACGATGTCCGCTGAAGCAGTCCTGGCACCTGCTCCCCCGGCGCCGAAGATAGAGAAGAAACCCGTGAAGTTCAGCAACCTGCTGCTCGGCGCAGGTCTCAACATGTTCGAGGTCACCACCCTGGGACAACCGCTGGAAGTTGTCAAGACCACCATGGCCGCCCACCGAACTGACACGTTCGCTGGGGCAATGTCAAGGATATGGGGGCGCGGTGGTGTTTTTGGATGTAAGACAAAGCGCACACAGTTTCCTCGTGAGAAGACCTCGGCTGATTGATTCCTCACAATGCACAGTCTATCAAGGTCTCATTCCATGGGCCTGGATCGAAGCCTCCACCAAGGGCGCCGTCTTGCTCTTCGTCGCCTCCGAGGCCGAGTACTACGCAAAGACCTTTGGTGCCAATACCTTCGTGGCAGGCATCACAGGCGGCATGGTCGGCGGCATGGCCCAAGCCTATGCCACCATGGGTTTCTGCACGTGCATGAAAACCGTGGAAATCACCCAGCACAAACTCGCCGCGCAGGGTGTGAAACCCCCCTCCACATTCACGACTTTCGCGAACATCTACCGGAAAGAGGGTATCAGGGGCATCAACAAAGGAGTCAATGCTGTCGCGATCCGTCAAGTCACCAATTGGGGCTCACGCTTTGGTCTTTCCAGACTGGCAGAGACTGGTATTCGAAGGGTCACCGGCAAGGAGAATGGCGAGAAGTTGAACGCAGGAGAGAAGATTCTTGCCAGCGGTCTCGGCGGTGGTCTGTCTGCGTGGAACCAGCCGATTGAAGTCATCCGAGTCGAGATGCAAAGCAAGTCCAATGACCCCAACCGACCAAAGAACCTGACAGTCGGGAAGACTCTGAACTACATCTACAGCACCAACGGCCTCAAGGGTCTCTACCGTGGTGTCACTCCCCGCATCGGCTTGGGCATCTGGCAGACAATTTGCATGGTTGCCTTGGGTGATATGTATGCTCTTTCCCTTGTCTCTTTTTTCTACGAGCATGTACTAACATTTGAACAGTGCTAAGGAGGCCGTCGAGAAACTCACTGGCGAAACAGTCACCGCAAAGCACTAGGTGACATATCTAGCGTTCTGGATTGGACGGATCCATCCATAATCGCTCGGGTGGATCCAATCGAGTCGGACGGGGATGAGCTTGGGCTGATATTGTCTTTGATGACAGACTGGGACCCCTGTCTCAAGCACCATGATTCATCCTTCTCTTGGGGCATTTCGCGTGGATGTGTTTGCGCTTTGCACGTGGAAGATGACTGATAGAAGTTTCGGTTATGGCGTGTACTGGCGTTGCTCTTCTGCCCTGAACGACATAAAATCTTTTGCCGGTTTTTTGGGGGTTTTTTCTTCTTCTTCTTCTTCTTCTTATTGTTTGTTATGTTATTGATCGTCTGGACACGCACAGCACCAGCCACTGTGAGATGTTATGCAACGGGAACGGGGTATAGAAGGTGGTTGGTTCATCATGAGGGTCTTGGGCAGCTGAGATCGGGCACTCACTCCTTTGGGGTCCAGGGGCACCAGGGCTTGTTCTATACCGAGTGCATACAAAGTACTGCAACAAAAATGAGCTTTTGCTGGGGACTCTTGCCCACAACCCTTTTTATTTTATCGGTTTCTTTGAAAAATTCTTTGGTTTCTCCTCTTTTGAGGCGAACCTCAGAAAAGAGGGAGGTGGAAGAGGTCCTGGGATCCCAGTGCTACAAACTGTCTCCTGACTACCTGCATGCCCTACCTGCATGCCGTTGTAGTTCAGCATTCACTACTGCCTCATACAGTCGATATCTATGTAGGGAGATTGTGGTAAGTAAGGTAGGGAGCGGTCAGGTGAGTACGCAGCGTGTCTGTTGACTCTGAGCTTCAGTCTTCACGCCTCACGCTTTCTATGTCTTGTTAGGACGCCTGTCCCGTGACAGGGAGGATTGGGCAGTGACGACGAGGGGTGGTGATGAGATTGACAACGACCAGATGCGTGGATTTCACTGCGTGAAGTGCTGCTCAGGCACGTGGAAGAGAGGCTCGTTGGATTCCTGTCACTGTGATCACGTCTCTTTGAGTCTTTCTCTCTCTCTCTCTCTCTCTCTCTCTCTCTCTCTCTCTCTCTCTCTCTCACTTTGACCTTGTCCTCATCACACAATCGCGGTCGTGCTCTGAACCAAACAAACCACCGTCATCAACAACAGACGCAAACGTTCTCATCATGGCTTTCGCTTTCGCTATCAAGAACTTCGCCGTCTTCCTCGCCGTGCTAGCTGTCGCGATGCTGGTGAATGTGAACCTCGCCGCGGCCATGCTGTCAACAGACCTCTCTGTCGCGAGCCCTGCTCGACTTCGTCTGGCTCCGCGCAACATCACCCAACAGGCTGGTTGCCCACCAGGACAACCCCCAAACCAAGCTGGCTGGTCAGTCGCAACTTCGCTTTTCTGGCCCTGTCTCTCGCACAAAAACTCCGTCTTCCCCTCACTCAAAGGATGATCTTGTTTTGGCGAATGTGAATCTGACTTGGAAACAGCTCCACTTGCGCCGAGTGCTGCATCTTCGAGTTCAACGACGCCGGCTGCGGTCAACATTCCGTCGAAGAGTACGTCCTCAACGATTACAACTGCCACTCTCTCTTGATCGACATGAACAACGTCTGGATCACCGAGTGCACTGGCTCATTTGTTGAGTGCATGCTCTGGAAGAATCACGACTGTACCGGTGAAGATAGCTGGAGCATCGACAACACCAAGGATGTCTGCCATCATACGCAGTATTGGATCGGGGCAATTCAGTGCTATGAAAGTGACGAGCAGAAGCAGTTGGCTATCGCGAGGGCGAGGGGGTTGAACAGATAGGGCGCATGCAGCGTGGTGCGTGGGTCGTGGTCATGAACGAGAAAGTCATCACGACCAGAGGTGGCAGCCGATGCCGTGTCTCCGAGTTGAAACCATCGAATCGTCTCTCCAAGTTCGCAGGAATTGAACTGGTGAGTTCTTGAAGCAAGCTTCTCTCCCCTAATACTTGGGGCCGTGAGGGTGACCAAGATAGTTAGAGGCCAGAGCTCGTCTCTTAGGGACTTGGCGATCATGGCCGCTCTCCATGGAAAACTCATTAGAACTCGAATCCGCGATGCCTTATTTCGAGGACCGGATGTTGAAGGAATGCTGATCGCCGAATGTCTTTGGGCTTGCTTGGCACTGTATCCGATTCTTCTATGGCAACACAATGTATTTCTGTAAATGTTGCGGTATAGCTTCTCTCAGATTCTTACTCTTTAGCCACTTGTCGCTGAACAGCCGTTCCGCATATCTGTAGGCTCCGTCGCATAAGACGGTGACAACGGTATGATTAGGCCCCAGCTTCTCGGCAACCTCTTTCGCGGCGACCACATTCAATGCACTGCTGGCTCCCAGGTAAAGTCCCTCTTCGTCCAGGCAGCGGTATACCATAGCAATAGATTTCTCATCAGAGATATACACTGCACCGTCAAGCTCGTTGACCTCTTGCTTTAGGTTGTCCGTCACGCGACCTTGACCAATGCCTTCTGTGATGCTGCTCCCCGTTCTGTCTTTGAGCTTGCCGCCGGAACTGATGTAGGAAAAGAGAACCGAGCCAGGGGGATCTGCCAGGAAGCACTTGACGGAATGGTTGCTAACGTCCTTAAGGTACCGAGTAACGCCGGCAAGGGTCCCACCAGTTCCAGTAGAACAGGTGAAAGCGTCAATTTTGCCGTCGGTCTGGGCCCAGATCTCTGGACCTGTGGTTACAATATGCGCTCGTCGATTGGCGACATTATCGAACTGATTCGTCCACACAGCACCGTGCTCGGGATCTTCCTTCCGCAGCCTCTCGGCATGTCTTTTTGCCTGCCAGTTATAGTTCTCCGGGTTTTCCCATGCAACAGCTGGAACAGGGTATACTTCTGCGCCCAGCAACCTCAGGAGGTCGATCTTGCCTTGAGACTGGGTGTTTGGCATATAAATGACCAGTTTGTATCCTCTCGCTCGGCAGACATGTGCCAACCCAATGCCGGTATTGCCGGCAGTTCCTTCGACGACAGTGCCTCCAGGTTTCAGCAGACCTCGCTCTTCTGCATCTTTCACAACATATAGAGCTGCGCGGTCCTTCACGCTACCGCCCGGGTTTTGGAACTCGGCCTTACCCAGGATGTTGCAACCCGTTTCGGCGGAGAGCTTATGCAGTCTTATGAGAGGAGTATTGCCAATGGCTGGAGTCCAGTCAGAATTGACATTGGTGTCTTGAAAGATATGTATTGGGACAAACCTCCTGTTAACGTGTCAACCACTCCTTGAGCTTTGGAGACGCGGATATGGTAAGGATTGGGCGACTCGGCAGTTGCTGCACGGACAGCTGTAGTGGCAAAGCGTCGTATTGACGTCTTCAAAGCGTTGGCCATGACTGAGAGAAGGGCGCCGGCAAAAAGGGATCAGAATGCAGGCGATTAACACGGGTCAGCACGAGTCTTCCAAGGGGCACGTGTGTCTAGATGCTGCATGCCCCCCAAAACTGAAAAGAAGAGGGAAGATCAGAAAGACGAGCAGTTGCGAAGAGGGAAAAAAATCTCCAATTGCATCATTCTGATCATCCCACCGAGTCACCCAAATTGTCCGAGGCTGCTGACATAATGCTCGGGACACGTGCAACTCCTTTTTTCAACACCTTGAACTCCTTCTCTCAAGCATTGAATACTGTAGCACAGGGCCACATGCTCCACTCTACAATACTCTGAAGAATAGCAGATTGTCTGCCTCGAGCTCGTGGATCTGAACGCCCTCGGATTGATGAATGGGATGTCTACGCCTTCGAGTCCTTCAAGCAATGCCCGACACAAAGAGCTCAGAGGGATACGCACTCAACCATGCAATGGGCCTCCCTCCATCCATCTAAGCAAAGTTTCTCTACCGTGTGCGGTGTTATGAAGAAACCAGCAGCCTCCGTCGGCAACCTTGTTCGACCGGAAAACACCACTGCATCTCGGACTTATCCGCTCGATGTCCGTCTTCAAACTGCGATCCATGACTCTGCAGATGGTCCAAAGCTCAACCCACAATGTTGTCTTGTATTTGTATGAATTGGTGAGTCCTACACCTCTGGCTATCGTCCTGTCAAGGTACCCTCAGCCTTGGCTGCTTGGCTGTTACTGCGAGCCCATTTGCGTGCTTGTCTAGCACTCCGGAGCGTATTCACGAGAACAACCGGGCCCGGGTTACAAGTAGCTTAGTCCTGATCCAAAGCAAAGCAAAACCGGCTTCCATATACTCGGTATATCCTAGCTTGGTGGGCTTACAGATCATGGATCTTGACCTCATCATCAAAAACGCCACCATCGTAAGTCCCGCCCTCATGACCAAGAGCTAACCCCATCCAACTTCTGTACAAGGCTGAGACCCCTGGATTGAAAGGTCACAGCCACCGAGATCCTTCAACCAGGTCTCAGCATCGGAATAAAATCAGGCCAGATCGTCGCCATTGCCTTTTCTCTTCCAGTGGACGCAGATACCCAAATCATCGACGCTGAGGGCGCATACGTGACTCCTGGCGGCGTCGACTCTCATGTGCATTTACACCAAGACAATGCTCCTACAGGCGACAAATGGCTCTCTGGATCCCGCTCGGCGCTCTGTGGCGGAAATACCACGATTCTTGCATTTGCGACTCAAAAGCGAACAGATGAGAGTCTATTTCCTGTGCTAGAGGACTATCATTCTCGCGCAAGCGGTCGGAGTTTTGTGGACTACGGATTCCATTTGATCCTCACCAGACCAAGTCCTGAAATCTTGGGTCGAGCAGTCAAGGTAAAGGCCGATGGTGAGCTCGACCCTGAGAATGAAGGAGAGTTGAAAAGAATGGTTGAGGAGGAAGGCGTCACGAGCGTCAAGTTGTACATGACCTACCCGGCCTTCAGATTGGGGGATAAAGAGATGCTGGAGGTGTTGATGAGGTGCAGAGAAGTAGGCATGACGGTCATGGTGCATGCCGAGAATGCGGATATGATTGATATGTACGTTCCATGTTTCTGGATTGGTTCCGGTCAAAGACTGGTAGTAAATGTTGAGCGTGGACCACACTGACTACAGTATCAGGATAACGACTCGTCTCCTGCAAAACTCTCATACACTTCCGAAATTCCACGCCCTCGCGCGCCCTCAGATCGCCGAGTCGGAAGCCACCCATCGCGCCATCTCGCTGTCCACCCTCACATCCACGCCAATCCTGATTGTACACATGTCCAGTCCCATCGCCCTTTCCCATGCAAGGAAAGCACAATCAAAGTCAATGCTGCCGATCCATGCGGAGACATGTCCGCATTATATGTATTTGCTATCGGAGAGGCTGGCTGTGACCAGATTTCCCGTCGTTGATGATGCCAATCGTGGCCATAGTCACGAGCATGGAGTTCACGGCGAGGAGGGTGGTGATGGTGCAGAAGATGAATGGGCAGGCGCACGACACGTCTGCGCCCCTCCTCTCCGCCACGCCGAAGCCGACCTGCAGAGTGTCTGGGACAGCGTGAACAACGGGACTATCACGGTGATTTCCTCTGACCATGCCCCCACACAATACAACAATCCCCAAGGGAAACGAAAGCCCCTCGTGGAGGCACAAAAGAATAATTCAACGCCAACGTTCGCCCAAATCCCCAACGGCCTCCCCGGCATCGAGACCCGTCTGCCAATCCTGTTCTCCGCTGCCACGGACCCTGACCCATCAATCTCGCCCGCAAGGCGACTGACGCTGCCGAAGTTCGTGGAACTGACCTCGACGAACCCGGCCAAAATGTACGGTCTCTCGGGCAAAAAGGGGAGCATCGCCCCAGGCTACGACGCAGACCTAGTCATCTGGTATCCCTCCCCTCCACATGACCCCGCCGCCGCCGCCGCCTCGTTGTCAGACGACAAAATCAAAATCAAAATCGCAAACGACATGCTGCACCACAGTATCGACTACACCCCCTTTGAAGGCTTCCAAGTGTGCAACTGGCCCAGATACGTCCTATTGCGGGGCGAGCTCAAGTGGAACCGCGATATCGAAGTGCGCCAGGGACCCGGTGCAGGAATCCTGGGAAAACCTGGCGATGGGAAGTTCTTGAGGAGAGGCAAAGGCGAGGTACTCGTTGGCCGGAGCGGGATGGGGAGAGAGCCCGCGGGCATGAGGGATGGGGAGAGGAGCGCTTGGATGTAAATTTATTGCCAATTTTTTTTAGATAGAGAAGCCCAGCCAGAGGAGAGATGCATTGCTATGGAGATACCTACATCCACTCCTTTGTAAGCAGCTTTGGTCAGAGAGAAAAGACGCGACCACGGAGGTCTGGGCGAAGTTGGTGTCATTACAGACCGGGGTGGAAGGTGGGTTTGTTTCTTTTGCCGTCAAAACATATCATCGAGCAGGGTCGCTCCGTATAAACCAGGTAAGTAAGCAGATACGAAGCCGTGTCCAAGAGAGGGGAGAGGGCTCACACCTTCAGAAGGCGAAGCCCAAAAAAAGTTAACACGTCGAGAAATCAGGCTATTCGTGCTCGTGTTGGGCGAGATACGGGGTATAAAGACAGATATCAGATACCAGATGGCTATTAGCAAGCTGCCTGCGAATCCATGACTCTCTGTTCCCGATGCTTCACTATGTATACGGGGGAACACAGGGAGGCTGCTAGGGCGCGGGAAACAGCGCCAGTCGGAAACACATCGTAATAGGTTCTTGTTTATTTTCTTCGCCATCTTTGTGGATGTGTGTCGTCCTCTCTTCTCATCATAGCATGAAGTCTCTCATGAACGCGCATAGAGGGTTTGACAGCAAGCACAATGTCTGTCTATCTTGTATGATCAAGCTCGAGAAGATGCCATAGCATGTCCCGTAGGGGTCACAGCAAAGCTTCGTCGGCTCTATGGTTCTATGGCCCTATGGCTCAGGGTGTCTTTGCGTATCGTGGTCGGGCCGTTCCCAGCCTCAAAGCCATCCATCACTCATGACTCATGACGAATTTTTCCGGTGTAGCTTTTTGCCCTGCTCCCCCCCCCCTGTTTATTCTATTCTTTCCCCGTCGGTATCTTGAAAAAGACGCCCCGCGACTCTTTGGTGGGAGCCTTGTCACATCTAAAGTAGCCCTTGCGGTCAAACTGAATGATATCATCCTCTTTGACGTCCCACACGTTGCAATCGGCCAATGCTGTAGAGCTGAACTCGGACTTGGTGGTCAGGAAATCTTCCCAGTGAGATTCTTCCTCCTCGTTGAGTTTGTCCTTGGAGAGCAAGTGGTCGAAATCTTCCAGCTGGACGGGGCACAGGTCCTGGTCCTTGGAGAGCCACGTGATCTTCTTTTTGGTGGCTTTGAAGTCGCCGTCGAGGTGGAGTTCGAGTTCGAGGGAAGCAACGTTGCCTAGTGCATTGACCCCGTCGGTGATGTCTGGTTTATCGGCAGTTTTCTCATACTGGACGTCACGGACGTAGACGTTTCCCCAGTTCATAAGTGTAATTTCTTCGTCTTTGGCGAATGTCCGCGCGTCCTCTTGCTCGATGATGATGTTAGAGCTGTACCAAACCTTCTTCTCTCCAAGATCGTATTTGGCGTGTTTGGGTTTCATCTCCGAGTAGGGTTCTTCCTGGGGGAGGCCTTTGATTTTGCATACGACGTGGCTGTCGTCAATTGCCGTGTACCGCGCACTTTTCAGATCAATGACTTTCTTGTTCATGGTCCAGATGGTGTGCCAGTCCATATTGACCACATTCTTGCTTGGTCCCTGGCTGACCATGAAATCCCTCAAACCTTCCACTGTCATGCCCCGCCGTCGGATACCTCTCACGGTGGGGAAACGGGGATCATCCCAACCCGACACAACACCGGCATTGACCAGCTTTGTCAGTTTCCGCTTCGACATCAGCGTGCGCACGAACTGAATCTTGGAGAAAGTCCAGATATAAGGGCATCGCAAATCGATGGCCTTGAGAATCCACTTGTATTGCGCATCTTGATCATTGTACTCGGTAGTTCTCAGAGCATGAGTGACACCCTCGATAGAATCCACGATCGGACAAGCAAATTGATAGGTAGGGTAAGCGTTGTATTTGTCACCTGTCCGATGGTGATGGGTGTGGTTTTTGGGACATCGAAAGATCACCGGATCTCTCAGTGCGGCATTGTCGTTGGCATAGGAGATCTTTGCTCGGATACACCATCGTTTTCCCTCTTCAGTGCCTTTCTTCATCTCCTCGTATCTTGCCAGGTTATCCTCAACGCTGTCGTCTCTGTGAACGCTAGGCTCACGTGCCAGTCTCTGCGCGCTCATTACGTCGGCAGGGGTGTCGTCTGCGTAGGCCTTTCCGGCTTTTATAATCTTGACACAATATTCATCGATCTGGTCAAAGTAGTCGCTCGTGTAAGAGATCATGTCCGGTTGAATCCCCAAGAGGGCGACGTCCTCGCGGATTGCGTCTTGGTACTCGGTATTCTCTTTCTCAATGTTTGTGTCATCGAACCGCAAAATCATCTTGCCACCGGGGTATTGAGTGTGTGCAAAGTAGTCGTTAAGGAGAGCAGCTTTCGAGTGCCCTATGTGAAGGTATCCAGAGGGCTCTGGAGGAAAACGTGTAACCACGCCTGCGGCGGCATTGGGCAGTTCCATCTGCTTGACTTTTGGGGCCTTTTTGGCCTTGGGTGCATTCTTTGTCGCCATAGTGACGAGCTTCTTTGGTTGAAGGGGAGGAAGCCTAGTAGAAGAGGTGGAAGGGACAAGAGTGACTGTCTTATGGCAAATATTGAGTCATTTCACCTGCGGCATTTGAATATTTCTTAAGAAGCCTTCAGCGGGGGGACCGCCACAGCCTTGCGACAAACTCGGCAAATATGCCAAGACTCACCAGCGCGCTTGGCGCGAATGTTGAACGGACCCACATATTTTTCTCGTTGGAGTATGTACTGGGTAACAGAATTCAAACAAGTTCAGCAATAAGTCACTACTTTCCATACAATATCGCTGACAGTTGGTCATTTCGAACATTCAAAAGCTAGCTCAGAATGATACTGCGTCCGTGGTCGCCCTCCTTGGCCACATCCTGTCCGGCTTCTAGTACGCCAAAGTCTGATGGACGAAGCAACCGGCCATCCAATATCGTCCCCATATGTGTCTTGTCAATGCTCTGACAATTTCTCCGTATTTTCGACATGAGAACCTTCAGGAAAGGGACAGGGCTACGCCTGAAAGCCGACCCGGACTCCGGCTCCCCTGTTCCAATGCAATCTCGGATGATGAAACCGTCGGCAGCAACGACGCAACCCACTTTAGTCTTCTCTGATGCGAGTTCCAGTAAGGCACATATCTCGACGTACTCCTTGAATGAGGAGAGGTGCAGTTGTCCAGCGAATATATTTAACAGCATGACCAAGCGACGTGGTAGAACTCGACCCCGTGCCTTGGGTACTGTGAATAAGTCCAGCCCATCCAGTGCACGGAATCCCAAGTTCAGCCGCGGTGCGTAGAGATGGAGTACCACGGTCTTAGATTGTCCGACTGTTGACTGTAGCTCCTGGGCCTCATATGGGCTGATGATGACCATGTATTTGACAGCATTGTCTCCTGGGCAGTCGCTCCCTGTGCTGGTCAGAATCCACTGCACCGGCCTCTGGTAAACATCCGAGATATAGGAGTTGCCACGTATCTGGACCGTTCTGGAAAAATCAGCGGTTACGAAGAGATCGTCGGGGAATTGTGAGACGTCGAGATGTGCGGCGGCACTCGTGTCGCGTAATGCTTCGAATGCGGGCATGTAGGCTTTGGAACCACTGATGAGCGTGCCCGTAGTCGTAAATGTAATCAAGTCGGGATGGAGATGATGATCGGCGGGATCAGCAGGTTGCGGCTTCTGGATCTGTCGTTCTTCCTCGATCTCCGGCGACAATTCACGCTCCTGCTCCTCCTGGAGTTCAGCGAGGTTGAATTCAAGGGCGTCGAATTCACGGCAACGCTCCCAGATAAGTCCAAGATTCGCTTTTCCGCCGACTTGCAAGGCCGAGGTCATGTCAGTGTGGGTGCAAGGTCGGTACATGTCATCTAGAGAGCGAGACTCCTTCTCAAGGAATCGTTCCGCGTGAGTTTGGGACATTCGCACCTCGCCGTCACAGCGGGCCTCAGCCCAAAGCGCGTTCTGGTGTTCAAACCGCTTGCCTTGCGCCGCCCATAGAGGCATGCTCCGACGCATATCGGTCCATGTTTCCGACATGGCCCAACAAAGAACGTCTGAAACGTCAATGACCGCGTTCTCAGGGTTGGCGGCGTGTTTCTGAATCTTTATTTCGATCTCTTCTGGAACGCAGAAGACGACTGACTGGCCTTCACCGAGCTTTCTCATTCTCATGCATGCTACGGAGGCGTCAGTTTCGATCACTCTAGCGATTGTGTAGATTCACCTTGCACTAATCGATCCTTGGTCAAATTTGCTCCTAGGGTTACGGCCGCCTTGTAGTATTCTGGCAATCTCAAATCGGTTCCTCTCGTGTGGGCCTCATCCAGGAATATGAGACATACATCAAGCTGTTTTGCAAAAGTTGATGTTTGTAATGCCTCGATCTTCCCTTTGCGGTCGAGATCGGAGAGCTCATCACTGTCGTCAAAGAAGACAACAGCTTGCACTCCTCGCAGGTCCGGCGTCATCTCCAACCACTGTCTCGCAAGTTCCAAGTTTTTCAATTCGAGAATCTGGGCCCCGACGTCAAGAATCACTTGGGGTGCTGGGTCCATCTTCGTCACCATAGTTAGGAGGATTTCTGCGTCCGAACTGTGGGGCTTTCCCCGTTGTGGCATAAGTACGACGGAATTTTCAGGTTGAAGGAGGTGCTCCAAGACCAGAGCATTGGTGTGTTTTTGTTCCTGAAGATCGAGATGCTTTACAGGGAGAGGGAGCGTCATCCGTGAATCGTTTGTCCCAATGAAGCCAGTCGTTGGATGAGTCTTAATCTGGCCAATGTCCCAACCGGACGCGGACAGTTTGTGCGGGAACTCCTTCATCTCTTTCGGAAAGACGATGTGCGCCAAAAAGTAGTCAACGACGCTCTTAGCATAGCGCAGGGGAGGGAACACTTGTTCCACGCACTGGAAACGGTCCTTGAGATTGACACCAGCTAACTGGCGGAAAGCTGGGGGTAGACTGGGGGCATCTTTGACCCATACTTGGTATTCGATGTCGGCTTGATCCGATTTTAGAAGATGGCCAAATGCCAGGAATAGGTCATCGTCACCTAGCCCACTATAGTAGTGGCTAAGTAACGTTAGGATAATGACGACGTCGGGGTGGCTGAATTCAGATCGAGGGGTAGGACTGTCTTTGGCCCGGTACGGTACTGCGAGCCTCGTCCGGGGATTCCTGGTCGCGTCAAGCCCATAATTGACTCGCCAACGTTTCTGCCCGAATGCGAAAGCTAAAACTCCTCCCCCTATGAGACCTCGGAAGAGAAGTAGTGTCTTGCTTGTCGACTCGGTCCAGAAGCCTCCTGGATACTGGCTTTCCACTTGATCTACTTCGTTTGCAGTGAGATTGGTCTTGGTGATGTATTTGTACACAGCTTTCCGAACAGCTTCGGGTTGCCGGGCAATTGGAAAACCGTTGAGTCCGGTCTCACAGAGGCGTTCAGCGATGTTACCTAAAATCCGTTCCTGTGCCTCGTACCCAAGAATCCGAGTCCTGGGGAAACTTCCTGGGCAACGCTCGTGGACTTCCATGGAAAGCGGATGCTCCTTGAGCACCTCCGGAGCAAACATTTTAACAAGCTCCAACATTTGTTGGACGCATATCCACCGCTCTGGACTTAATTCAACTGGTTGCTGCATGCCCATGGTGTAGATCAGCTCGAACTTGACGCTGAAGTTTTCGTCGCTCTCATCCACAATATCGCGGGTCGATGTGTCGAAGTATTTCTGCGTGTCCAGCAGCGAGCGGCCAATTGCGTCCTTGCCTGTAAGGAGGCACTCGAGGCCCATCAGCTTGAAGGATAGAATATGTTCGGGCTGAACGAGGAGGATGCCTCCATTGGTCATGCATTCAAGGCAGATGCTGGCGATTGTATTTGCCTCCGCTATTCCGAGTTTCAATGAACGAGAGAATGGCATGTGATAGACCCGCCGATTTAGCAAGCCTCCCAGCTTGGAGACCAGCATTTGAAACATCTGCTTGGATTGGGGCTTAGCCACGATGACGCGAACTAACCGAGAAGTATCCGCGAGAGCAACTGCTACGATAGGCACAATTACAGATGACTTGCCCTCGCCCATATTCAATTGCATAACCGCATTGTTACCGTGTTGGGGACCTCTCATCTCTCTGGCAATCTCTTCCTGGACATCTCGAATTATGATTCCGGTCTCAGCTTCCAGCAGTAAAGACTCGGGATAATCGATGGGATCCCAGTTTCTATGGCCGGAATTGCGGATTTCTTTGATAAGGTCAGCATGACAGTCAGAGAGGTTTACGAGTCGCTCCGCTCTTTGGAGTTCGGTGAGAGCCAGCGCATATTGAACAATGCAACGCTTCCATTCGGTCGTGATTATCTGCCATCGACTGCGAGCGAGCTGTTGGAGGAAGAGGACCGGGCACAGCCGCGGAATTTGCCTGATGGCAACAGCAACTGAGAGCGGGTTATTTCGTTGCGTAGTCGATGACCCTTCGAATGCATGAATTTCAGTCACAGCAGACATGATGGCAGAATAGATCTTGCGAACCCGTTCACTGCAACGGTTTAAGTGGTCGCGGAGAATTCCTTCAACGCCATTTCCCTGCGACCATAAGTGATATTCAGCCCTCCAGCCACGCAAAGAGCACAGGCTCACTCGCAGGTCCTCGACATACTTCCTTTCATAATTGGAGTTCAGTTGCGTTTCAAGTCGGTCTAGAAGGGATGCCAGACGAGGTGTCGATTTCTCCACATTCGAAGGCAGCAGAAGATCATTCAAGTCTCTGGATCCACAGGTCAATTCGGATGGAGGCGAGCAAGAGAAAACATCATCGATGCCAATGAAGCCTTTTGTCCTCTGGAGGTTCCATGTTGGGGTGGTCAGTGAAGATGAGGGCACCTCTACTGGATTAACCAGTTGGAGTGACAGTGTATCTCTAATTTGACAGAGATAATCGTAGAATCGATAATTGTCGAACCAAACCTTGAACTTTGGCATTGCAGCTTCTATGACTTTATCCATGTCCATGTACAATGAGAACTCGGCATCGTTTGGGGGAGTCGGAGTCTCACAAGGCCACTGGGCCTGCATTGCATTGACAAGTTTGTTCACGGTACGGTCTTGGTTGCTCTGAAACTGGCGTTGTTGGCGTCTGTTGAAATTAGAACTAGATTCTCTGGCCCCGCGGGAGAGTTGTCCCTCCGGACAGCGATGGAAAGGGAGAAGAGCCGACCGGAAGCTGGTATGTAGTTCCCGCGTGTTCACCGCCGCACCATAAGATAGGCGAAAGGAAGTGATGGGCGGGGCGGAGATCTGAACCATCTCTGGCACCACGAAGAACGAGGCCAGTGTCTGGACAATCTGCATATCGCTCTTTTCAGCAAAAGCTAATGTTGAAAGCCAGATCATCAGACGGAACTTGTTCCAACGTGGATGGTCACGACTGATTGTTTGGTGAAGAGTGCACCAATATTTGGAGACAATCTCTGGCGAATCTTGGAGCAACTCGCCGTCATAGTCCAGCTCGGATGGTATTGGATGGCTTGCACCTAATATTGGGGAGTCTGATCGCGAGAGGAAATTCCAGAGATGGAATGCCAAATCGGATGGAACATTATAATGGAGTTTCGTGCGTCCATGGTACACTATATCCGACATGGCAAGAGCTTTGAGCCTCCGCGCTGAGCGGTTATCCCGATCCCTTGCCGAATAAGTGGCATCGTGCTCGCTGGTGTGATCCTCAGCACCGAAGCCCGAGACGCGAAAGGTCGATGACCGAATAGAGTCGCGCTTCGATAAGAACGGGTCAACGTGATCAAGATCTGGTGACGGGACATATGATTCTGGGTAGAACATCTTCGCCTTGTCAGCTTGATTGAATATGGATGTGACATTCTCGTAAAATCCGCCGTGCTGAGCTAGAAAACTGAGTTCCTGTACCCACTCCACAGTCTGCATGACGCGTTCATTAGCCGGATAGTAACCTCTTCCTGGGGTTAGATAAGCTATCCGACGGAGGATGTCAATGTTCTCCTGTGTCAATCGATCGAATGATCTCACAGCAGCAGAGTTTAGGATCGAAAGAGCCTCCTCGGTACCAGTTCTCTGTATATGGGGATCAGGCAGGCAAAAAGACGTGAGCGCGTGGAGGTAACATAGGAACAACTTGCTCTGTAAACTTCCATTGTCGACCAATCTGCCAATCTGGGTGTCCACGTAGTATGCGTGAGCTTTGGCAGCAGAGTTTTTGTCGATGATGACACAAACATGGTCACCATCCTTTTCCCACGATACGCCTCCCTCTGGCAAGATAACGAGACGACCGTCGTTTGTCTTGTGTTTTAGCAAGAGCTTGTTGCGAAGGCCCACCAGGGTACCGAGTGACTGATAGGGATCAACTGGCATTCCCCGAAACTGCTTTGATTGGATTGAGGATTCCCCTGATCTGAGATCGAATCCTAGCTGTAGTCTGGGAAGCTCAATCTCTAACGATGATGAAGAGTGGTGCAAGGCGATGTGTATCTTGAGCGGATCCTCTAACGGAGAAAGGATGTCCGAGAGCCTTACGGCGGTCTCACTCTTCACGCTGACCGATGACATCGCACCCTTCCTCATAAGCCAGTGAGTGACGCCTCTAGCTCGGGTCAATCTCCAGTTATTTGGAGACGAAAGCCAAGGATCCCCAACAGGACGAAATTCCAAGGAGCCATCATTTACGTCGTACCAATGAACAAACTCCTCGACGAAAGCGTCGGGGAACTCCCCACGAAGGACCCTGCAAGGGATGAGTTCGTATTTGCAATTATTCTTTTCGGCTTGAACCAAAAGATCGTGTTCAAGCAGCTTGGAGGTTCCAGGAACGGGGCTAATGCCGAAATGAAGGGTGTACCCAGCATACTCCTTTTTCCCAGAGAACTGCATGCCATGGGCTGCGGAAGGCATAACTTCCAGTGTCGAATGGCCAAATAACGTTCGATAGGTCGCGTGACGTTCGAACTCAGAAGGTAGACGGTTCAAGGGAAGGCCATTCACGAGCAATTCGCCGGTTAAGATATTGAAATGGACCCAGAGTTGTTCACAGTTGTTTCGAGGTGGTGTTTGGCTGACAACCCAATAATTTGCTTGCTCTGAAACCACTTGCCAGCAGCCTCCTACCTGGTAGGCAGACCAAGACTTCCTTATGGCGTCGTCCAAGGACTGACTTCGAGCATTGGATATTTCTTTCATAAGGATGGGATAAGCGCGATATGAAAGCCATCTCCAACGCCGGTGAAGTATGGGAATCATAGGGTCAGAGGTTTTCAAAATGGTATTGATGCCTTCATGGATGATAATGGAACATTGGATGAAGACTGATGCATCTTTGGAGGAGGACAGTGCGTGGACTAGATGCATGTCGTCAACATTGAACGAATCGATGCAAATCAAAGCAATCTCGACAGCCTTGGAAATTAAGTCTGTTCTGTGGCAATCCACGGTTGTCTTGTGCACCCTATCCTTGAGAAGATTGACCCAAGCAAAAGCAACATCTCGAACATTAGCCAGATAAATCAGGCACCGGGTCTTGACCTGATCGGCGGTTGACAGCGACAGCAACCGCGCAGCTAAGGAAGTGAAGATACTGAGTGCCTGGGAAGACTCCCAGTTCTCCTTAATTCTCTGCAAAGCCTCATGGAGGCTCTCTAAAAGAGCGTGGCAGAAGTCCGCATCGCCCACAATATTGTGGCTTTCTCGTAGGCCTGCACTCCCACTCGGAGGTCCGGCTTGATAGATTGACTGGAGAACCACAAAAGTGGTTTCGACCTTCTTGAAATCAACCGATGGCGCGCAGAGTTGTAGTAATATATTCTGCCATTGAATTCGGGTACCAAGGGGAATGGTACACAGCGCCTTGTACTCGTCCAACGACATGCAATCGGGACAGTCGGATTGGCTGGCTATGACAGTATTTGGCGACGGCCCATTGGGCGCTGTTGCTGGACGAAAGAGGAATCGTTGAATGGATGCTGATGGCGTTGGCAATGTATAGATAAAAGGCTTCAGGAGGTCATCATCGAAACAGAAGTCGCCGACAAAAGTGCCCGTTGCTTCATCATGATATTTGTACCAGAGCCCACTGTTGAGGCAGACATCGTCTGGGGTGGTGGTGGCGATATTCTTTGGCCAGCGGTGTGTAACTTCATGAGGTTTGTTTTCCGACAGGAGACCGAGCCGCTGTGTTGTGCTGAATGATGCAAAGAAGGACGAAAGACCCTGATAGCCCCTCAGATGGTAATGTGCTCGGGGCCCGTCTGCCGACAAGCGAGCATTCAGAACGGTGAGAAGGAGAAATAGCGTTGTATCCCGCCAGTGACCAAAAAAAGGAGGGACTTTGAGTTCAAATACCACTGACTTGGCTTCTAGCGCGTCGTCGGGTAGCGGCCATTCATGAATCCGAATAGTAAGTGAATCAGCTTGGGACCTATACTTACACTTTTGGCAACCGTCACTGTGGTAGCGTCGTTCGTAGATGCCATTGTAATAGTCGGCCCTTACTTCATATTCGCATTCGCTCTGATCGACGCGCCGCATGAGGGACCTATACTCCTCCTTCTTCTGGGAGAATTCCCTGAGTTTCTCCTGTTTGGCCTGAGTTGCTTCGCATTCAATATCACGAAGTAAGGTCCGGTGCTCTGGAGACTGGCTGAAGTATCTAACCGAGAAGCAATTTTGAAGTCCATAGTCTCGAAAGATACTCGGGGATGGATGTACGGCGTGCACTTGACGTTGCTCGAGATAACGCTCCACATGAAGCACACGTTCCATCTGGCACGCCAAAGGGAGCAGTAGGGATTGGAGAAGCCCTAGGGGGATGCCCGGGTCATAATCCCTAAGAAATTCGCAAGCGCTGATCGCAGATTTGTCGCAGGCAATCCAGAGTTCAAGGATGGTCAGCAGCATGATGGAATTGGCCTCTGGATTTCCTGCATAAAATGGAGATGCAGCTCTATAGTAATTCCGAATCGACTCGCCTATTTTGCCGCAGGTGCCGGCGCTCCCCTTTTGGTGTTCCAGCCACTGGGGGAGGTTAGAGGTGACCCAGTCTTCGAAAGCCCTTAGATTGTAGACCGTATGCTCCGGTATCGAGGAATCCAGGTGTGTCGGAAGTTCTTGGATTTGAAATTTGGTAACCTGGGAAGCCGGCTGAAAGGAAAGAGGCACTTTGTGGTGCCCACGTTTAGCCAACGACTTAACATATTCATCTAGGCCGACAAGAGTGTGGAAGATATCCCGGTCAAAGCTTAGGTGTTCAAGACATGATAGATGGCGGCAAGGGCTGGCTTGTTTCAGAATGTGTGACCACCTCGTAGAAATTTGATCGTAAGTGTTCTGCATGACATTTTGAGCGAAGCTGAGGACAGGTGTGCCGACATGTGGATCGAGTTTGAGTAGGCGTCGAGTAAGTTTGGCATTCACCGTGTACAACAGATCGCTGGGAAGAGAATGGCGGTGTGAAAGCTCTAGAATATGGCTCATGAGAAACACCATAAACCTCTTGTAGAGGTACCCTCGAGACGCAGATGAACTGCACGACCTTGAAATGACGAGCTGCATGGCAACGCGGACGAGTAGCCACGTAGGGGATCTTCGCCACGGTAGTAGGCTGTCAAGCCACATTACTTCTTCTCGAGTATTTTTCCAGAGACATGACACATCAACTGGCTCGGCAGCAGGAGCTAAGAACCCCATAAAGAGCTCAGTGACTACCTGTGGGTGTATTGTATCCCGGTCCTCATCGTGCAGACGGCCTGCTTTTCTTGCTTTTGGTTTTGTTCCAGCGGCAAGCTGGTGACTCATTTTGGCAAGCGTGCGTGCGATCGTCGATTGGAAGCCAGGTTGTTCGAAGTTATCGATGCTCAGAGAGAGAGCTAGTCCTGGAAAGGAGCGTCGGAGTCTTCCCTTGGTGGTAACTACTGGCTCATTGAGGGGGGAGAGCTCAAACACCTCAACGTGAATTGACTGGTCAACCCTGCTAACCATGACACCGGTATTCTGGGCTCGTATGTGAAGTAGAATTGTTCCGCTCCCGACTAGGTCAACTCAGCAAGACGAGCAGGAAGAATAGTGTTGCGTGTGTTTACCTTTCTTGCACAAGGCTCTTAGAGCACTTTCCAGCTTTCTTTCGCTAACAGCATCTGCAGAAGCAGAGGAGTCGCGTAGCGATATCATGCCGCTGATCATAGCAATGACAGAACCAATAGTCTCATTCTGGTCACCAATGACGCAGTTTCGGAATCTACCAAGGGCGTCGAGTACGACGTTCAGCAACACTGATTCGTACTCTGGATCATGGTCGTCTTCCTGCGGGAGTTTGGGTGGGAGAAAGATGTGATGAATCAAATATGTAAGTGCACCAGGTGAGAACCGATTAGCCAATGCTCGGTCCATTGCAAAAGCCATGCCAAACAGCAATTTCAAGTAGAAGTAGAGACGAAGTGAAGATGGCTTGTTGGAAGGACAAAGTCTCCTGGGGATCTCCAAATCCAGGTTGACTACCAGGACGAGGCGCCTGGGCGCTACATGTAGGTCGTCTCCAAAGACTCAGACCTGTAGGAGAAGCGTCTTCGCTTTTCTCCATCAATCAATCAGGCCATGTGCAGACGTGGGTGCCTTGCTGCCTCCGCGGTAATGTGCTGATTGGCGAGTGCATGGCCGCCACCGGGTCCCGCGAGCGCCTCCACGGACTGCCTCGCAGCCTTGTAGGCAATCCTCGTATCCAGCCAGCCAGCAAAGTCGGGGCTGGATGACTTGCGAAACAACCACTGCACCAGGCCTGGCATTCCCGAGGATGGTGGGTTCACCCACCGTTGGCCGCATGCCATGAGATTCCTGGTGTCGTCAGCGACCATGGTTATCTGCATGATGGTAGATCAAATGACAGGTGAAGTTCAGATAGAGCTTGGATTCTGGAAAACTTAGCTATGGAGTAGTAAGGTTGCCTTACCGTTAGCGTGCCAACCTTTGATTGGGACGAGCGGCTGTGGCCCACCACGTCGGACATCGCATGGGGCCAGGCCAATATACACAGCGGACTGATGGACTGCCACCATTGCCGAGCTGGAGGGTTACCCTGGACCTTGCTCAGGCTAATCCATAAACGGGCCCGTGCAGGCCTGTGCAGGCCCTTGCCGCCTAGATTTTTGGCCAGTGCAGCGAGTCGTGACTTGCCCCGCGAAACTTATCGCCATGGCCGTGCCATGTGCAGTATTTAACAGTGTTGGGAACCGACAAAATCAACCCCGAAGAGCTCAAGTTGCAAAACGTCAACTACTCAACCAGAGTCGGCCGTCAAAGGCGAATTTTCACGCTGCTCGCTCACGGCGAAAAGCCAGAAAGGATCATGGATGACCCATATCAAACGACAAGACGCTATAGTGACAAGGACATGTGGGGACGAGTATGCACGCTGCGAAGCGATTACAAAGAGCGCTGCGTCGCAGAATATGGCGTTCCGAAGGCTGTCACATATCACCCTGTTGTCGTTGTCGGACGAGGGCAAATAGGCACTTACAGGTGTATGACGGTATGTTCGTCCCGCATAAAGCTAGCTGATCGTAGAGTTGACCATCCCATTCAGATCACATCTAGTCCCATTGATTGCTCATGGGCCTTGCCTATAGCACCAACTCCGAAGGGTACATCGCGGGCTCAGATGTATCTCCGTTCGGTTGGAAGGACACAAGACGGATTTTGGCCTGTACAAATGTGGAAGAGCGGATGCTACATCCAGATCCATGAAAGTTACGACATCCCACGGCACTGGCTAGAGCCTGGCTATGACGATCAGTATGAAGTGCCTCTACAATTGAAAAGTGACTCTTTGGCACGGTTGTTAACAGTGGAATTGGGGCGGCTCTAGAGGTATCACGTGGGCTCGGTCTCTGCTTGGGGGAGGGGGGGGCGGAAGTCAACAGTCGGTCGAACGAAGGAGATCGGAAAGTGGTCCAAAGTCGAAAAGGCGTAAAAGAGGAAATGAAAAATATGCCGCTGATATTAGCTCCCTTGTGGGCGCCATAGGTGTCGGTTTGTCGATCTTTCCTCGGATATACCTAGCAAGCCGAATTGAGAAATAAGTAGCATATTCAAGTTGAAGCCCTTCGCTATTAGCATGGAGGTGTCCTTTGTTGGTAACGAGCATTCCATTTTCCTTGGAAATATCACAAAGACGCTATCCTGCCCTACTCAGGCGTCTTCTCAATCCCGATATCTGTATCTACACTGTTGAGACTGATGGCCCATCGTGCGTGTGCCTATCACAATGCAAAAGCAGGTCAATGCCCTCAGAATTTCGGTCGACCAGGTGCTACATCCAGATAGATCCCAATACAACCACCCGCTCAGTGACATAATGCGAGAGGTCTCCATGGAGGAAGTATGTGACCTAATCGACCTCATTGTGGAAGACCCCTGGTTTCTCAGGTGAGTCGGCCGTATTTTCGCTTGGGTCTCGCGTGACGCTCTAATTTTTCTCCCAGGAGCTAGACATTCGAAGAGGGCACCATAGCATATGACACGATGGTGTTCATTCCATGCGACAAGAGCTTACCACTCCCGCAGGAGTTTGGGAATGGCTGCATGAAGTCAAGGAGGATCCCCAGGCGCAAAATACTTCGTGGGAAGCCCAACAGGCTGTCAGGGAGAGTTACGGTAATTGAATCAAATCGTATAACTCAAGGCGAATGCATTTTCAAACCCTGGTGCGTCAATCAATGTCTAGTTTGTGCCGTTATGATATATGTCCAACTCTAGCCAGCTCGATAAATTGAGCTACAATCTAGGTGGGTGTGTCATGCGCCTGGCCTTCCTCAACAAAGATTCATCACTCACCAGACTCCCTGAAGATGTTGGCAGTATCTCCAGCTGGAACGGCATTTGCGAAGTGTAGTCTCTTTTCAAGTTCAGGTATTGGGGGGAACATCCCGCGGAGGATCGGCATGAGGGCCCCCTTGGACTTTTCGTCGGCTCCGAGATTGATGATACCTCTAGATATCTACACTAAATCGAGGGTACTCAGTGGTTGGCTTCAGGCCGTCATCCATATAAAGATGGGGATTCGATCCTGCCAACAAATATAGCACGAATTTTGCGATGAACAGAGACTTTATGGATCGCTACCTCCACGACTGCTGCCGCATCGGAGATGCGAAGGTCCTGCAGGATTACTGCTGGGACATCACACAAGCCCTGTTGAGTGACAAGGAAGCCAAATTCTTTGCAGAGAGCCTTTGGGAGCCCCTGCTTATATCTGATGGGATATGCAGGCGGTCATGGGAGAGTTCCAGGACCACCGCTGAGGAAACCGATGTCGACCCGCGCAATGTCCCTTCTCAGAGACGGCTAATTCACACAATGGACTTTGAAGGCTTCCGAACGCATATGCACTTGTAAGGCAGCCGGCCCGGCCAGAGCGGACCACAGTTCTGGATCATACAATCCATTATCCATGGTAAAGGCAAACTTGACACATGGCAACTAGTGGTGCCGCCAACCTCCCACCCAGGCTCCGCGGATACATTATCTCTTCAATCGACATATGCGTTCTTCGAAACCCAGCCGTTCATTAAGGACAAGTTCCTATTCACTCCCCGTCAAACATTCGATCCTAATGTCGATCCGCCACGAAACCGCTATCTTCAGCAGTGTAACACCTTATGGCCTGTGGAAATGACGAGTCATCCTGAGAAAGATGCGCGAATAGGGACTCATTTGACAACGTGGGAACCAACCCGCGGGTTTTGGAATGTCAATCGCTTGAACCGGTATCATTCCTACTGCTTTAGAAGCTAGGGGAGGTTGTGATGAGGATGGAGACTAGTTGTAGAAACAGTAAAATACCTGTGAAGAGATGAGGATGTGAAAGTCGAAAAAGCGTCAAGGAGGGAACGGCTAGTATGTCGCTAATTTTGGATATTGGGTAGTTCGTTGGCGCTGCAAACGGTGCTGGGTAGAGAAGTCTTCAGAAGTTCAGGATGAAGTTGAGAAGGTTGGGTGCTGGGCGGCGGTCTTAAAGCGGCGTGGCCTATGGAGGCTGGACAAGGCTGGGTGAGTGGCCACGTGAGCTCGGAGCAGATTTTACTCTGTTCTTCTATTCGCCAGCCTTCCTACCCAAGCGATGGTACATAGCTGCAAACACTTGCTGGACTTTTGTATTCTGTACTCGGTACAATGCATTGAGCCATTAATTTGGCTTGGTTCCCTGTTTTCAACCATGGATGTCTCTCGAGGCCTCTCGATGGCTACAACACGACTCTGCCGACTCACGACATCTTCATTTCTCGCTCCCTTCTTAACACGCGCATCGACGCCGCGCATAACAACCGCTGCTCGATGCTTCTCCTCCGCCCCGACCCTATTTGCAGCAGGTGGTTCCCGACCCTTGTCAGACAAAGAAAAGGCTGCGAGGGAGAAGATCAAGAGAAGAAGGAAGAAGCACCGAGCCTATAAGCAATATAACCTCAAGGACATGGAGCAGTTTACGTTGTGCGAAGCAATGAGGTACCTCGAAACAATCCGGCCAAAAAATCATTCAAGCATAGCTAATTGCGTTCGCAGGTACATCAAAGCCTTCGAAGTCGGTCGCGAGCCCGACTCGCCGAAATATGACATCCACATCAAACTGCGCACCAAAAAAGACGGCCCCGTGGTTCGCAATTCGATCCGCCTCCCCTACCCGGTCAAGACGGACATAAAAGTCGCGGTCATCTGTCCGCCGAATTCCACGGCGGCGCAACGAGCACGCGAAGCCGGCGCCCATCTGGTTGGTGAAGACGAGCTCTTTGAACGAATCAAGGCTGGGAAAATCGACTTTGACCGATGCATCGCTGTACCCGAATCCTTGCAGAAGATGAATAAAGAGGGAATTCCCAGAATATTGGGCCCAAGGGGTCTGATGCCGAGTATCAAGATGGGCTCAGTCGTGACGAATCCAGGACCTGCTGTGAGGAATATGATGGGCGGAAGTACATACAGAGAAAGGCAGGGTGTGGTGCGGATGGCGGTGGGAAGACTGAGCTTTACGCCGGAGCAGCTGAGGGATAATGTGAAGGCGTATGTTAACGCGGTGAAGAAGGATTCGGCTGCGCTGAGCGACCAGATTGTCAAGGAGATCTATGAGGTGGTTTTGAGCTCCACGAATTCTCCTGGCTTTTCTTTGACTGGGGACTTCTACAAACCGGCGCCGGGAGCTGCTACTCCTCAGCAACTGGCAGTGATTTGAAAGGGCTTTTTGGTTCTTCGACTTGTATTGTTCAACCTGTCTGGGTATATCTCGCTCAGCCACGGCGTACAGGGGTCAAAGTCAAAAAATGGAAATAGAGATGTTCTCCCGATGGCATGGGCCCTGTCGGAACAACAATCACTCTTCAATTGCCCCACGTATTTGCAACAATTGTTGCTTGTTCTTGACCTCGGTTTGCTGTTTGATGGTCATTTCGAGGTCGAACAGTAAGACTTCCTGGATCTTGCGCATTCGCCCTTCTTGGGCCAAGAGGAAAGGGTGCTGCGGGCTGTGTTTGCTCGCCAGATGTTTCAAGATGAGAAATTCTTCGGTCCTTCGCCTCAGTCTTGAGGTGACCCCAGTAACCCTGTCCGAGTTGTATTCCTCATCACTTTCGTTGGTGGCCGTCTTCCCGATCCATTCGTCACTCCACCGCTCACCACTGCCGTCTTGGAGTTGGCCTTTGATCTTGATCGCGGATCCCGTAGGTGTTGAGATGTTGAGCTTCTCTTCCAGCAGATCTAGACGCTCGGCGACTTCGAGTAATGCCTGCCCCACACTCGCTTCTTGCCTCAGAGCTCTTTTCTGTCTCAATAATTCCGCGACCTCGTTCCTTCTTGCGTCGACATTGTCTCTAACTGCTTTGATATCCCTTCCAAATCCCAACAGCCCCAGTCGGATATCCTCGATCTTCTCTTCGCCCCCATACAGCGTGCTTCCTAGTGACAGGAAATCCTGATAGTTGTCATTGACGAGGTCGACGAGCTCCTTGTTGAGGGTCTGGCTCAATTCGCGCAGCTCGGCCTGCAGGTCTTCAAGTGTCTGGAAACGGTTCGACAGACTGGATAAAAAGGCTGTGGCGTCAAAGTCGGGGGCGAGGAACGCAGATCGCTCCAATGGTTTGGGGAAGGGAAGTGAGGCATCATTGTCGTCGACGTCTGAGCCCGAGCCCGAGTCAGACCCGCCAAACTGATGGAATTGTTAGTCTTGGTCCAGATTTGGGCGTGGGATTTACGCACATAGAAGCGACTGCTCATGGTGACTCTCGTGAGATCCTAGGCGGGATCCTGTTCCAAATTTCACTTCTTGCCATTCTTCGTTCAAGAGTCTGTTATTCTTCGTGGTCTTTTAAGCATGAGTACTCCAGCATGAAGGACATCATTGGTAATTGTCGGTAATATTGGCTCCTACAGTCGCCGTCTGTCTTTCTTTGTGCCACTTCCACACATAAATTGGGGAGTGGAGGGGACAGGGGCCTGCATCGGACTTAAGGACAAATATCCGGATTTAATCTTGCAGTGGCACAAATGAAGAGACGGCGTTCTCGAGCCTTCTCTCTTTGTATTAGGGTAGAGAACTTTGCAGTACCACGGGTTCACACGACGTATCTTTCTGCTCCGTACATGTTAACAAGATTTACGCCATGGATCTAGCTGCACGAGGTGCCGCGGCGGTCGAGTCTAAAGACTTTCCCCAGGCTGTGTCCCTCTACACCCAGGCGCTGATCGACCACCCTTCCTCCCCCGACTACTTCATCCAGCGATCACTCGCATTTGCGCGCCTCTCACCTCCCCGCTATGACCTTGCTCTCAAGGACGCAGAGTATGCAGTCCTCCTCGCACAGAAACGTGCAAAGAGAGAGAAGATCCAGGCGGCACAACAGCGACGAGTTGTGGCTCTTCACGGACTGGGACGTTTCGCAGATGCTAAAGCGGTTCTGCGGCCGATGGAGAAATGGAGATCCAGCAAGCCCGCGAAGATGGAAGGTGACATGTGGCTGACCAAGGTCGAAGCAAAGTTGAAGAACGTTCCCGAGTCGGAGAGAGCGTCGTCTGCGACGGAATATCCAAAGATCGACCTGCCAAATGACGCACAAATGAAGGCGTGGCTCAAAGCACAATTGAGACCAGATGGGTCGTATAAATTTTACGAAGACATAGTTGTCGAGACGGCTCCTCCCGACACAGCTGCAGGTGCCACTGGTGTAAACAAGACAAACAGAGATGAGACGATGACAGGCTCAACTCCATCCAGCAACATGCCGACATCAGCTCCGTCTAAGATCCGACACGAATGGTACCAATCTCCCCAAACCGTCACTCTGACACTCTACGCAAAGAATGTCCCCAAAGACGCCTGTGAGATCGACATCCAAGAAGACTCCGTGGCCATCTCCTTCCCTCACCCTTCCAACCCGTCCTCCACGTCCACATTCACCCTCGACCCACTTTTCGCACTTATCGATCCATCCCAAAGCAGATCTGCCGTCCTCTCCACGAAGATCGAGTTGACGCTGAAAAAGGCGCAAGCTGGTCGGAAGTGGCATGACTTGGAAGGTGCTGCGCCTCTCATGGCACCATTATCAAAATCAAATGATGCGAAAGAGGAACAGGATTCCAAGGCAGCTACGTTGCCCACGTTGACCGATTCGCCCTCGCCGCCTATGGCTGTACCACAACCAGGCGTAGTCAAAGATATTCCCCCATCGTACCCAACCTCCTCCCGCACCGGCCCAAAGAACTGGGATAAACTCGCCAACGACTTCCACGTGCAAAGCAAATCCAAAGCTAAAATTATGCCTAAAGACAAGAGCAAGTCAACCTCTGACGATGCTTCCAAAGAAAACCAGTCCAGCCCCCTCGGTTCCGATGTAGACGAAGGCGGCGGCGAAGAAGACTCGGACTTCGACACCGGCGACCCCGTCGATGGATTCTTCAAGAAGCTCTACGCCTCAGCGGACGATGACACGCGTCGGGCGATGCAGAAGAGCTTCTACGAGAGTCAAGGGACCGCTTTGAGCACGAATTGGAAGGAAGTCGGGTCGAAGAAGATCGACCCGGTCAAGAGTTCCCAGGATTGAGAATATCGGGGAGCGTGGATGGTGGTGGGGTGTGCGATTGTCCAGTTCAACACAGGGAGATGCAATGGGATGAAAGAAGAGATGGACATGTTTCCCCGCGTAGCAATCATGGGATGGTATGAAGAAGTTGAGCAGAGAAGTTGGCGGCGTGCTGAGGAAAGATGCCTGGGGGAAAACATGGAAATCGACACGCATGCTGAATGAATGAAACCAACGAATGAATTGAATGAATCAATGAATCAATGCGCGTATCAGGACCAACAGAACAGCAACAGCAGCAGCACAACACACAAAAAAAAAGGGGGTGGGGAATGGAGGAGAGAAAGAAATTGAGACCGAGGAGGCGGGAATGAGTGTTCGGAATGCCCGACATGTGCCCTTGACAGAGGAGTGAGCTGCAGGGGATTCCATTGTTAGTACCGTATAACGCGATGCAATGTCAATGCAATGTCAATGCAGATGCAACGGGGCGCGCAAAGGTTCAAGGCGGGAAGGGGGGAATGGAAGGGAAACGAAATGGGAAATGAAGGGAAAGAGAGAGCGGCACCTGTCCATCTCCCTCTTCATCATCTAATTGTAATATTCATTTCATCTCGCTCCGTTCTTGGTCCTTGATCCTTGATCAATTCCCCTTCGTCCTTCTCTTTCTCCTCCTCGTTCCAGGGAATGAAGAAGAACTTACACACTCGGCCCTGGTCCTTGTATCCCTTCCATCCCCTTTCATACATAGAACATCTACCATCCATCTTATCCCGACAGTCATCAGTCGTCTATATAAGCCCAAGGACCAATCACCCTGATTGATATCCAGATCCTAGCTAGGGTCCAGCAAGAGATTCCAATACCTGCGTTTCAATATCCACCCACCCCTTTGGAGACGCGCCCCCTTTTTTGCCCCGTTCTGCCCTGCCCCCTTCGGCACCCTTCTGCGCCCTTGATTTCCTACCCGCCCTGAGCACCTTCCTCAAAGCCTGATTCTAAGAATAGGCGAGAGAAGCGAACGAACGGACGAACGGACGAACGGACGGATGAATTGAATGAATGGAGAGATAGATAGATGAGTGATGAGTGACTGGTCCTCCCCTCTCTTAGAGTTACAAATTTCCTTTCTGTCCCCTCCCAGTCGATTTGACGTGTCTTGATAGACTCACTGTCGCATTGTCGTGGCGGCGGCACCAGATCTTGGACTCGGATTAGGCGCATGCGCGGTGCTCGTGCTCCCTCTGGTCACGACCGATGTGGCCCAGTCGGACCCGTAGCTGCTCGCCGAGTAGATGCTCGCAGGATTGGTGCTATGTTCGTGCCGCCAGACTCTTTGATGTTGGTATTGCTGCAGGGGCAAATGAGTCTGGCTTGAGCCCAGACCGTGGACGTGATGCTGGGGGTGATGTTGAGGAGGGTGGTGGTATTGACGATAGCGGATGGGGCTGGGCCGGCGGAGATTCGAGCGCGACGGAGCGGTTGATGTTGAGGCTGACCTTGAACGGGCTACAGTGCTAGTGCCAGTGGTTGTGCTGCCTTGTGGCCTTGCCGTGGAAGGTGTTTTTGAGTGGCCCGGTGCACGGGCTGGTAAAGCAGGACCTGCTGGAAGCGCTGGAGGGCGGGCCGAAGGAAGTGGCGGCGGCGGTACACAGGGCATTGGCGTCGCTGCTTTTCTCAGCGATATTGATTCCACCATGGTCTTCTTTGCACGCTTTGTCGATGCGGATAGCGTAGACGATGACCGGCCAGAGGCCTCGCGCTTGGCTGGGGGTGTCCTCGCCACTACATTTGACGTGGTGAGGCTTCCAGTCTGGGCAGCAAGTAAATCCGGAGATGACTTTGACTGTGACATTGACAGCGTCAAAGCCGAACCCGTGCTCAATGCCCGAATGGTAGGATCTGCACTCAGAGGCGTGTGATGCAGAGCTGGGGACCAGGTCGGAGGCGGAGCTGTGGGAAGCGGTGGCAGATCGGGTGCAGCAGTATTTTCAGCTGCCGATATTGCTGCAGGATCTCGGCGCAGGCCTCCCCTTTCTGGATTGCTATTTGCTCGACTTCGCGAACCTCGGGGTGTTGGCAGATGGGTTGAAGGTCTCGTGCCGAACGAAGACGAGGACTGCGAAGAACATAAAGACAAATTGCGGTCATCCAAGTGCAAACATTGACCCTCGGAGACTGACCGGAGGGTCCTCGAGTATCGGCTGCTCTGAGCAAAGGTATAGGGGTGGTGCCTAGATCGCTGGTCATGGTAGTAGTATTTGTGTGGATAGATGGCCTTTTGAGAGGATAAGCTGTTGCGTCGCTGTAGCCATTGCTCGTGCTCGAGTCGGTTTGCGCGGCGGCCGGGGGCGAGGGAGGGATGGTCGTTCTTATCGATCGAGAAACCAGAACGGCTGCTGGACGCGGAAAGCGCTGGGCCGTGGGTTTCGGGAGCCTTGCGAGACAGACAGGTACAGTAACAATTCAAAAGGCTCGCTCTGCGGCGAGATGGCTGTTGTTGGTCCAAGAACGAGAGGGAGGCCATGAAGATGCTAATGGGGGTCGTAGACAGGTCAGTGAACTTCATCTGCAAGGCTCCCGTAGATGTAACGTACGCTATCAGAACCGACAAGGCGACCAGAGCACGATGGAGCCGGCAAGAGAGACCATATCTCCAGTTCTGCTCCTCTAAATCATTCCGCCATTGCTCTAACGGCGTTTTCAGACACATGGGTGCTCGGAGCGCGACGAGGAGATTGAGGCATCCCAGGATCATCCACAAAAACACCAGGACTTGGACGCAGGTAGTACAGGCCCTCTCCAACTTTGGTGATGCTGTTGAGGGTGATATAGTCTGCAAGACCCTAGTTCTCTGGCGGACGATGAGGTAACCCCGGATCCCCACGATGACAATGGTAGGCAAAGACTAGGTAAGCGTTAGGAGCTCTGATCGATAATGGTGTGGCCGGCATTGATTTGTCCTGCCCGAGACTCACAAAAGCAATTGAGAGGTCAACTCCCGAAGATGTTGTCGGGCAAACAGCTCCTTTGGCTCTCAGAAACACGGCCATGCATAGTATGCTGTAGGCAAGTGTCAGGATGACGCAGATATTGATGATCCTGTTTACCATTGCGGAGTTATTGCTCTGGCTGACCATGCTGGTGCGCTTTTGGAAAGAAGGCATAATGTTGCGCCGTCGAGTTGGGAAAGAGAATAGCCATCTTGAAGTCTCGAGAGCTCCAGAGGAGACCGTGAAAATTTCATTTTCGCCATTTGCAAGAATGCTCGCAGTGGAGGGCAGGCAAGGGCGAGAATCGAGATGAATGTGGTCGAAAGGGGGAGTCGGCGGCTGGGATGAAAGTTGGTGGCAGCGAAGGGCCGTGCACTCAAGGAAGAAGTCCTGGTGGCCCCCTTTTTTCTATTTCTTTGTCCAAAATCCTGAACTCCTCCGGCAGGAATTTGCCCTACCATTCCCTTCCTATTTCCAACAAAGCAAGAACCAAAGGGGGTATCACCGAGTGCAATCCAACCATCAATCCATTTCCAATCCGACATCATCGTCCATCAAGTCTTCTTCATCAACAGCATTATCCTCACTTTCCTCGTCAAACTCACCTTCCAATAGAGCTCTGGCGTACTTCGTGTCCACCTTGTAAAGGTCATGTATGTCCGATACAACGATTCTGATATCGCCCGAGTGTTGCAAAGCCTTCAATTGACACAATTCTCGACCAGCCAAAAACCACACCCAGATGCGGAAAGAAGCTCCTTTCGAGCAGACAGCTTTATGCAGGCAAGCTGCTTTTAGGAGGTCCCAGTCAGAGAGCAGGCGGTCCTTTTCTGCCTCGAATCGACGACCTATCTCATGATCAAGTCGCTTCGGTTTGATAGCTCGGAACTTTTCGTAAACAGTTTGAACAGCAAGACGGAAATCCTTCGAATCTCCCCAGTCCTTGAGTTCATTCAATGTCGATTCAAAGCCGGCTCGGTTAGAGGAGGACAATTTGCTCCACTGTTCCTTTACCTCGGTAATGTGGTCAAGCAGACCTTGCTCGCCTTCCAGCAAGTCGGCGAGTATCTCCAAGTCTGGAGCACCTGGCGAGGCAGCCGTTGTCCCGTAAGCACCCCCTTCAAACCGATGCCCACTGGCTCGCTTCTTCTCTTTGTGCCCTTCTACCAGTGAGCACCAGTAAAGCCAAGGACGACTTAGATCTCTGTCGTAGTTGAGGACCTTTTCGTCCTGTCCTAGCTTCACAAACTCTCGCAATACTTGCTCTTTGAGAGTCTCGGCAACGTCGAACTTGAGAAAGTCCACCACGTTCAAGTTAGTGTCTGAAGAAAATTTCCTTGGGGCAGTCTCATTTTTGTAGGCGGGTTGTGGTAAGCTGTCTAAACCACTCGCGTTTTTGCGGACTTTATACCAGACATCCTCGGGAAGGTCCCAGCCCTGCTTATTACTGTCAACCAGAAAGCCTGCAAGCGCTGCTAGTTGCACGGCACCAGGGTGCGAAAGTCTATTGCCGTGTCGTCTTTGGCCAAGGACATAAACGAGTCTTTCATGCTCCGAGGTGCACGTACCAAGCAGGTTGGGCCGAGCATTAAATGCAATACATTTGCGGAAATAGTCGTTGAAAGCTTGATCAGGAGAAAGTCTTCCATTGAATATCCCAGACACTGGTTTCGAGCGCTGAATCATGCCACAATCGATCTGATTTGGCATAAGTGGCATATTCGTATTGCGAAAGGGGGGAACAATCTTCGGATCCCAGACGCAAGTCACAACATCACCTAAAATCCTCGCAAAAAATCGTGTCAGCACATCTATATCTTGAGAAAAGAGAAGAGCAGATTATGAAGTTTGCGGAAATGTAATTGTATGTAAACCAGAAACCTACCATCGTAGTCGCCGCCAGATAATAAAGACGCCAGAGGAATAGCACCCCGCTGAGGGAACAAGATGACGTTCTTATAGTGACGGAGCTCGTGTTTATAGACAGACCTACATTTCTGCATGTCGGATGCTAGAAGTGCTGGGTTC